CTAGGAATCACATGAGACAAGCCCATGACATTACTCTAACAAGAGAAATGTTGAACAAGAATACTTGCATAATAGACAAAACCCAAGATTCAAGAAGATTACAAATTCTTGAGGCAATTCACATAAGAATAGAGCGACCTACCATGAACACCCAAATCACGGAACTATTTACTCTACCCACCATGAGAGTAAGGACAAGACAAGAACATATCGATGCCAACACAGAAGACAATGTCCAACATAACAGGCCAATTACACTGGATTAATCTTTGTGTGAAGATAGGAGATGCCTCGTATGGGCCAATAAGCCTTCTGCAGCCCCTATGTTTATCCCTTATGTATCCCCCCATGTTTTCACCTTCATTGTATTATCACCTGACCTAATGCGGGTATAAAATCAACTAGTACTGTAAGATCTGTTCACTTGAGAATGAACCATGGAGGTTCGAAACGTCGTGCAAATTATACAAATAAGTGTAATACACTCTATAGTAAATCACTTCTTTTCTTCACCTTAAAAGTACGAAAATGAGTTTTGGAGAACTCCTATTTCAATTAAGCCCTGATGCTAAGAAAATAGTTAGAGGGATAGAAGCCCTAAACCAGAAAATAATAAATACAGAATATGCGGTCATATTCAATGATATATATATATATATATATATATATATATATATATATATATATATATATATATATATATATATATATATTTCTTATAACTTTGTTAATTAGCCTTGAGGAAGATTCAAACCAACTCACTTGGTACTCCCAAGCTAGCTAGCGCCCAAGACCACCACACCACAACGTGGTCAAAAGCAGTGCAACTTGGGATTCCAATGAATTCTTTAAAATTCCTGAGGTTTACAACCGAAGCCCAATTGGGGTTTTAAGCATTGTCCCCATGCACTCTGGCTAATGTCTAGTAGTTCTTCTCCAAGACTTTTCTGTCAAATGCACAATAAAATCGCATTAATGAGAAAATCAGTAGGAGCAATGAGAAGGATTCGAACCCACTCACTTGGTTTGGAATCCCAGGTTGCATTACTTTTGGCCATGTTATGGCATGGTGTTCTAGGGTGCCAGCTTGGGAGTACCAAGTGAATAGGTTCGAATCCTCCTCGTGACTCCTACTGATTTTTGCATTTAATACATCACATTAATGTGATTTCATTAACACTTTGCTGTAATTTAATGGAGAGACCTACAGACAACTAAAGGAGACGGTGATAGAAGCCTCAAACAGCATTGCGATTGCAGAAATCTTTGTCCGCACGGTTTTTGAAATGGGGAGGCAACGCTTTACTCTGGTGCCACTAGTTTGCCTAAGTATGTATCTATTATGTACATTGATGACTTTTTGAGATTATGACAGGAGGCAACCAGTGCCTAAACAATTTCTTCACATGGCCAAACTACATACACAGTAATTTGAAGTTTGCCTTGGAAACAAGTGAGGCCAGCTTGTTTTCTTTCTGGATATGTTGGTCTGTCTAAATAGGGATAGGAGACTGCAAAAAACAATTCATTACAAACCCACTAACCTACATTCCTATCTACTTTTCTCATCCAGCTACCCACCCACCAGCTTTAAAAAGAGTGCTGCGCTATTCTAGGGCCATCCTTCTTAACCCTTAAACTGCGCATGGCATATATATACGCCCTGAGTAACATGTCCCATGGTGCGCATGGCGTATATATACGCCATAGGGTGCCAGGCCTGATTCAAATGGCCCGCGGCTACACGGGGTTCACAGTAGCTTCCTCAGGGCTCTTGTAAACAGATGCCATTTTAAAAAAAAAATCGTGGGCAATATTCTCAGGTGTGAGAGGCACAGTACTGTTGGAGCAACCAAGGCCGGCACACGCAGTATGAGCGAACAGCATTGATGTTCAGCTTGTGACCACAGCATCGCCGAAAAATGTCAAAATAAATATATAATTGTTATTATTTAGCGATGACAATATTACAGATGACCAATGACTGTGATATAAATAACCAGGGTTGTGATAATAGCAGGATTGTTGTAATAATTAGCGCTGTGGGAGGAGTGATGCTGAGAGACGGAGGGAGACAGCATCGTTTACTGACTGTGTGGCCACCTGTTATTGTTTGCATTCACCATACCAGGTCAGTGGTTCTCTATGGTGAACACAAATGTAGATACTTATATATAATGTGTGTATTAGTGTAATAACAGCAAAAGGATTATGCTGGGAGGAGCCATATGGGTGACGGAGGTGACGTCGTCTGCACGATTTGTCTAGCTGTTTAGAGGGTGGCCACTATGCTCTTTGGGCGCACTACAAGCTTAGGTGTACATTTACGGTGCATAAAACATGTAGATATTGTAGATGCATGTAGAGGTAAATGTATGTATGATGCAGATGCATGTATGTATGATGCAGATGCATGTATGTTTACCTCTACATGTAAAACATGTAGAGATAAACATGTACCCTATATACACATATATAATATGTGTATATAGGGTAATAACACTGCAAAAGGTATTGTTGGGGGAGAAAGTTTAGTGCGTGTGACCTTGAATGAGTGAGGGAGCCGCCAGCCGCCATCTGTGTATAGCGACGACTCTTAGTGCCTGAACTAACTATATCAGCTTAGCTGTACAGTTGTGGTGAACAAAATATACACATACTTATATATAACGTATGTATATAGTGTAATAACACCACAACTGGTATTGTTGGGGGAGAAAGTTTAGTGCGTGTGTTGAGGGAGTGGCAGCAAGTGGCTGGCTGGTGTGTGGCGGTAACTCCTCGTTGCTTTTCGACTCTCAATACCAACTTAGTGGTTCGTTATGGTGACCAAAACATGCCAATACTTATATATAACCTGTGTATAGAGTGTAATAGCAACAAAACTATTTGTTTATTGTTTTATAAACATAATAATTGAATCACTAATATGCACATCATACTTTTGAGTATAGCGATTATTCACCACTTTTATTATATAAATATATTACAATACACACTATTGAATAATATTACTGCAAAAAAACTAAGAAAAAATCAATCGGAGACATTGAAACAATTAGGTAATAATATCTTTGTGGCAACTCCCGTCTGTCAATGCGGGTGACGCTGACCGGGTCTGACGACCGCTCTGTCAACGCCCACTTTTTGCCAGACTTCCTCGGTCAATTGCGCCCAAAATATGTCACCTACGATTTTTTTTTAATTTTTTCCGTGCTCAGGGGACACAAATTAACATGTTTAGAAGACGAAAAAAAATGTTTGAATTTTTTTTTTTCTTGCGCACAGGGGCGTAAATGTCCCAAGGACCCCTGAGCAGTGTAAGGGTTAAAGAATTGCAAGTGATAACACTAAGCTACAAGAGGAACTCTCATCCCTGTTGGAATATTTCAGACGAAGAGGATACGACTCAAAAAATCCTAGAGGATTCTAGACAGAAAGTCGGACAAAAAGAAAGACAGACCCTGCTACAAGAAATAGAGAAGAAACCCTATGGAGAGACTCATTCTCCCAACTTAATACATTCCAGGTTTGGAGGGCCCACTACAACTTGAGCTAAACAAACTATGGATGTAGTTGTCCGACACGCATACAGGAACCACCTGGCTTGGCATAGGTTCCCTGGGGTGCCACCCATGACAGCCTGAAAGAGGAGTCAGTCTACAAAGGAGTCCTTGGTAAGGGCTAGACTTCCAAGGGCTAAGCTTTTTTACAATTGGTGTGTCAGGGATGAAGAGGTCCCATAACTAACTAGACACACGTCCTCTCATAAGTCGAGCCTGGCCTCGGGCCGGGCTTGGGGAGTAGAAGAACTCCCAGAACCCCATCAAGCAGGTATCAAGCAGGTACACATGAAGTTATGCTAAATTTGGAAACAATACACTAAAGCAAATGACCCCATGCCCCCCACAGAACATGTCCAAGGATGGCCAGCATTTAGCTTGAAGCTTTGGGGGCTTTCCCCATGAGCTGGCATGACCAGAAGCACAACAAGTTGATGTGACATCAACAGAAGAAACAGAACTGACTTGGGGGGGCCAGCTGGGAGCTGGGGCCGAGCCATCTGGTGGTGATAATCGGTACTAACGAGTTTCGTACTTGTTTGAGTAAATCCCTTGTTCCTTGTGACTCATTTGCAGTAGCTGTTTGCCAGTTTTTCAGGGCTTTGTTTTCTGTGAACCTTAGAGTTGTCTGCAAAAAGCTGTGCTGACTTTCTTGAGACTTTTTCTGGTGAGATGGTAAACTGTCACCTGCTCCCTGCACCTCTGAGAGGAGGGGGGGGGGGCCAGGTTCAGGCTCCATTTCCAGTAAACCAAACATACCTTCATACTAAAAGGTCACAGATTCAGCCACTGTGACCTTTTAATAGGGAGCAATCTCAGGAAGATAGAAAGCCACACAGGGGCTCCCACCAGAAAAACCATATCTATCTCTGGCTGACCTCCAGAAGGATCATTCCCCCAACACTAAAACCCCCTAAAAAGGATGTTCAGCATTCAATGACTGCAGGGTAGAATTTTGGTAACTACAAGACCATCACCAGATGTCATCACTTACACTGTCATCAGAGTAGCAAGGAGCTCCACGCCCCCGATGTATCCTCACTTTCCACCAGCACTTGCCTCACAAAGCTGATGCATAAAATGTAAAACTTACCATTCTGTCACTCAAACAAAAGAACAGTAGATATTTTAGTGTCGCAAATTAAATTTGAAACAACAGTTTGGACGATGGAAAGTTTTAACATATATCATGAAGCATAGGATCATGAGCAATAAGAGTGATGTGGATTCAGTGTAGAAGAAAAGTGATTAATAAAGTAGGAAATGATATCAGTAGTGTAATATAGATTCTTGTAACACCAACATTCACTGAGTGAATGTGAGAGTAAAGCTAAACTAGCACGAAAATGTGAGAACAGAGATAAGGAAGAAAATCTTGAGATGAGTGCTTTGAAGAGAAAGGAATATTAACAGACAAAATGATCTACAGTACAGTACCTTGAAGGCTTCGAGCCACTGCTGCTGATTGATGTAAGTTACAACCAGTTGACTCTGTTGCTTGAAGTACCTTTGATCAATCTCATCAATCAATCCAACATAATACAGGAAGTCCCCATAATCAACCATTGTAAGTGGATCACACAGACCATCACCTATTGCTATTCCTGAAAGACATAAAATATACTTACATTATTGAATCAAAAAACTTCATTACTGATTATATATTATTAAGAACAAAATACAGATGTTAAAGAATATATAATAACCAGATAAAAATCCAATGTTGAATGTAATGAAACACCTCTTCCCTGGAGGAGCTCCACTAGCTCCCTGAAGACATTTTCCGGAGAGTGCTTCATACCAAAAGGTCACATAATTTGAAGTTAGTTCTTGTCGGAAAAAAAAAACATCATTTACTAAAATTTAATTATGTATGCAGATAATATTTCTGCTAATTATGTACTGTACTAACAAATTAACCTAAAGTATATTCTTAATTCATTCAAAGAAAACGAGTCCAGTGGAATTTTCCCTGGAAGAAAACGGGGATAACATTGCCACATCGCTATTAACCCTTAAAACTGCGCAACGTGTCATATGACGTGTTGAGTAACTAACGCAAAAGTGCGCATCACTTCATATGACGTTTTGGAGTACTGTACTATGCAAGATTTAAACGGCCCGCGGATACACAGGGTTCACATCACCTTCCTCAGGGCTCTTGTAAACAGGTGTCACTTAAAAAAAAAATCGGGGGCAACATTCCCGGGTGTGAAGGCCTCAGTACTGAGTGAGCCACCAAGGCTGGTGCACACAGCATGAGCTCACAGCACTGCTGTTCAGCTTGTGACCACAGCATTACCTAAAAATGTAAAAAACAAGCGCTGAATGTAATAAACGCCATTTTCTGGGTAAGCCTGGGAGGCTCCCAGGAGCTTATCGGGCTAATGTATGTTATATTAGACCAGGACATTAGCCAAGGAGTTCAGACCTACCAGGGACCAGCGCCAGAATCTGGCCCCTTCAGAGAGGTTTCAGGGAGCAATGGCCCTGGAAAACCCCCTTGTGGTTGGGGTTTTCCTTATCTGCCATCGACCGGGGTTAGGCACCCAGAAAGGTAGGCATAACAAAACCGCACATGGTAAAAAACTGAAACAGAAAGCCGAACAGAGAGGTAGAAACTCCCTACAATCCCAAGGAAACAAGGAGACAAGCAAACATCACACTTTACTGTGGCACCGATCGTCTGCGCAGCCCCTTTCCGCCCCGAGAGGGGGAGGGGGGGGAGCCCCGGACCTCACCGCGCCGACTGCCTAGCATCAGTTCGGAACCTAAGCTTCAACCAACATAAAAAAACGCCAACCAGTGGAAGGGAGGGTTGCCAGGTAGCCTCCGGGACTCGCCCAGAAAATGGCGTTTCATTACATTCAACGTTGGTTTTCTGTAGGGAGCCCCTGTGGCACCCTAGAGCTTCATACCCAAAGAGAAGGAAAAGAAAGGGCTGACCCAGGAGGCGGCCGCCACAAACGCCACAACGCGAAGCTGAGACAGGCGGCAACCTGCGACCCATGGCAACAAGAATGCACAGGAGCAGACACGCGCACAAAGAACAGGCAGCCAGGAACCTGCGTGACCCTCAAATCCTCGCGCCCGAAATGAGTCCTAGACGTCACCAACACAGCAGCAAAAGCTGAAAACGTCCAAACGGCATGGGCGCAAGGATAGACCGCAGGCTGGTAGACTTAAAAACTCTGTGGACGACCTGAGAGACCCCGAGCCCTGAAACAGGGGACGAGCGGAACCGGATCAACCAAAAGAGCATCCCTAGACACAGTACGCAGGTAACGGCAAAGAGACACAACCGGACAACACAGGACATAGTCCCGGCCGAACCAATCAAGCATCAATAACCCAAGGACCCCTCCGGAAAGCAGCTGTCTCGACCATCGCCAGAAGGATGGAGAAAGGCTGCAAACGTACAACCCTACGACCAGTACCAAAGAGCAGAAACCTCTGTAACGGAGGAGACGGAAGTTCCCCGACCCGACCTGCAGAGGCCCATGCCAACAAAATATGGCCTATGAAAACCAAACTTGAACCGAAGGGGCTACCACAAACTGAGAAGATGATATGAGGACACCCTGATCAAGGACCAGGACGGCTCAGGCGATGCATGAGCAAGCCGGAGGTGAAACAAAACACGAGAAAGCATACGGAACGGGGCAGATGTGACGTCCACCCCCGAGCTGGCTCCGCCAGCGCCACATAGAACGAGGCGACAGTAAAAAACATCAAATAACTCTAGTCCTGAAAACCCAAGAAAGGACAAGACAACCAGATGCAAAAGAGAAGACAACCAACCAAGAGCAAGAAAAAGGTGCATAGAAACACCAGGAATGTCATACTGTCGCCGAGACGAAGCTCGCAGGTGGGACACCATCAATGAAGCCACCTGATCACCACAGAGATGGTGATACCCGCCTCAAAATACCAGACATGAAGAACCGAGGAGAAGGCCAAACCAGTCACGAACAGGACCGGTCCGACCTGCCGAAAGAGGCGGAGCCGCAGAAAAACGCCCCGGCTTCGGACTCCTATCAAGCAGCAGCTGAAAATAAAGCTGGGCCGGACACCAAGGGACCATGAGGACTACTCTCCTTGGGAATGGACTCCAACCGAGCCAGAACCCGAAGCAACAGCTGGACCGGGACAAGAGGAACAGGTACCCCACCTCGAGCAGCCCTGCCGAAAGGCATCCACCATGAACGCCTCGCAGGTGGGTAAGGGTGCCACATAGACTGGGCGATGCCTAGACCACGCCAACCCAAAGATGTCCATGGCCAGGAGTCCATACGTCCGGCAGAGCCAGTGAAATGAGTCGGCGACGACTGTCCAATCCGTGAACAGAGGAATGAACTGAGACAGGCTGTCCGCCAGGATGCAGGACACACCCTGGACATGAACTTCACGGTTAGCCAAACCCCGAGAATCCAGCAAACGAGCCACTCGACGGGACCATCCCCAAAGGTCAAACACCTAAGAGAAACCCTGTGGTTCCAGCAAAGAACTGTAACAGAACAGTCTGAATGGAGCTGGATGGTAGAGCACCGACTGACCCGAACCCTCCGAAGCTCAAATCAGACAGCCACAAACTCCCGAACCATGCTGTGAGCCCAACAGACGGACAGACCCCACCATTCCTGGACGACCTGGTGAGCACTGGTCACAGAGCCCCAGCCGAGAGATGACTTGTCCGTGAACACATTGAGCGAAGGCTAGGGGAGGTGCCAAGGCACGAAACCCTGAAAACCCTAAAGAGGAAGCTTGTGACGCAGCACCAATACTAGATTCCCGGAGGACGAACCCAGCAATCGTTGGGTTCGTCCTCCGGATCTTGTGTTGGTGCTGCGTCAAGAGAGGCGGAAGGGAAGTCTCCGAAGTAACCAAACAGACGCCGAAGCCAAACACGACCCTGCGGGCAGACCAGCACATTGAAGTTCAGACTCCCCCACAACCGCTCGAGCCACCGCCGAGCAACCCGAGACCCCCTCATAAACAGCCGAAGGCGGGACCACAGCCACAGCAACACTTCTGGAGGGAAAGACAAGGAGTGGCCCAAGAGCCCGAAACAAGACCCAGCCAGGTAAGAACCCGGGATGGAAACAGATGGAACGACCTCCAGATCACCTGGAAACTGAACCCGGCTATCTGGACAGAACCACACCCCTGGCGAGCAGACAAGCGGACCAACTGGGAGCCCACACCAGCCAGTCGTCGAGGTAAGCCAGACACCGAATCCCAAGCCGACTCAGATAGTGCACCAAGATCCGGTAAAGATGCGTAAATACACCAAGTGTCAATTACAAACCTGGAAAGGAACGTGCCAAGAAGTGACCTGGAGGTCCTGGGCCACCATCCAGGCACCCGGCCCCAACAGAAGCCAGACTGGAGACAATAGTCCTCTGATGAGGGCATAGAATCCAGGGCGAAGACTGAACAAGTCCAGAAGAACCGCAGATCCACCAGGCCCGTGTCTGCATAGAGCAGACGGGAACCCCAGAAGGATGGGGCGGATCGACCACTTCCAACACACCACTAAGATGACATGACGAAGCGCAGGGGAAGAAGCCCACCCTGCCAGCCCCGAACCCCCCAAAGGGGGAGAAGCCGTCTGCCATCACCAGAAGCCGGAAGACGACTAAAAATGCCCACTAACTGCGGGACCAAGCGAGAGTCAACAGAGCAAGCTGCTTCCCCAGTGTCCTGTCAACAGCAAAGGGAACAGAGCCCCTTCCAAAAGAAAAAGTATATATATATATATATACATATATAAATACACACACACAAGGTGTATTACACACAGTGTATTACACTGAACCTCGCCGAGGCAAAACATTTAAATGAGAGCAGGAATGAAGAAGAAATAAATTCTTTTTTCTACAAAGTGATAGGGGTAGGCAAACCAGTAAAGTGGTACATAAAGGCAAACCAACAAAATCAATAGAGAGAGGGGGAGTGAAGAATAAGGAGAGGGGGAACAAGTTCCTGAAGATTGCATACACCAACATAGATGGAGTGAGATCGAAGATACTGGAGTTAAGTGATGTAATACAGCTGCAGACACCAGACATTGTTGCACTCACGGAGACAAAACTTGAAGATGTAATTTTAAATGAGGTCATATTCCCGAGGGGCTACTCAATTTGGAGACGGGACAGAAAAATTAGGAAAGGCGGTGGCGTTGCTGTGCTGGTAAAAGAACACCTAAAGGTGAAGGAAATAATGACTGCCAATCCACAAGAAGTTGACATAATAGCACTAGAGATCTGCTATGAGGATGATAAACTAATGATGATAAATGCATATAGTCCACCGCCAAGCAGCACATGGTCAAAGGAGGAGCTAGATAGTAAACGTGAAGGTCTTATAACAATAATGAGAGAGATTATAGCGAGAGCGGATAACGATAGATCACGACTGTTGATAGTCGGTGACTTCAACTTGAAATCCATAGACTGGGAAGCATATGAAGCTAAAACAGAAGATTTTTGGACCTGTAAATTTGTAGACCTCATCCTGGAAACATTCTTGTATCAACATGTTAAACAAGCTACGAGGATGAGGGAAGGGGACGTTCCCTCCATGCTAGATTTGATATTTACCA